CCCAGACAAATCTGGTACATAACAAAAATATATTCTGGCAACACTGACCTGTGTAGTAAAGAGTCCTTGTTGTAATTGTGACGAAACTATAAAGAGAATAAATATTTCCTTTCCGTAATCATCATGAGTTTGTTAACTTTAAAAAGCAAATATGTATTTAATTGAGTTCTTAAAAGTGGCCAATATAACAAACAATATAAGTTAAAAGTTGATTTCATTACTAAAAATAATTGTAATCCTACTATCTTTAATTAATTTTATGTGGCTAATGGACAAGATCTGAAGCCAAACTCTCTCTACAATCATACACAGTATTTCCAGTATTCTAGTAAAAATTCTAGTATTCTAGTATTCTAGTATGGAAAAAATATATTATAAAATGACAACCAGGGCCGGTTTCTCCATTGGTTCTTTTATGCAGTGAACACCCAGTTAAATTTCATAAAAACACATTATTTTAAAATTACATAAAAATATAAATTTAATTTTAATATTTTTATTTTTATACGTGTTAATCTATATTTTTTGGTACATCATTGTCCTCTGGCTGATTGCGTCTCTGTGGCACAGTATACCTAAGTATACTGTGTCTGTGGCGCATTACGATGAATGAGCTTAACACAAGTGAGACGATTTAACGAATGCATATAGCTAAAAAGAGAAGACAATACGCCAACAGATCCTTCAAACTGCAAAAGAACACATTAATTGGCGCGCCGCTCACAAACAAGGTTGCCAAACCAGTGTTGCCAGTCTAGTATAATTCACATCTAGTACAATTCACAATTGTACTAGATGTAGTACATTCTGTGTGCATCAGTGTTCACATGTAAACTATATAAATTGTGTTCCTTGTTTGGGTTCGTTATCAATAAAGACCTTCTTTTTTCCCCTTCAATGAATTAGATGTCACTGCAAATAGAATTCGAAAAATCTGATAAATTTTTTAGACAAATCTGGTACATAACAAAAACATATTCTGGCAACACTGTACCAAATTAAACAAACTGTCATTCCGTCTTCCGCCATTCCTCTATTATGAAACGCTTTTAATAAAACTAAAATTATTTTTTGTGCTCATTTAGAAAAATGTGTTTAATTAAGAACTGTGACATTAATAAATTAAAAGTATGTGTGTCAATTCAACGATTGTTCCCGAAAAACTTCTTTAAGGCAAGGTAAATAAAAGTATTTTTATAGTTGTTGTTTTATTTAACTATAATAACGTTTTACGAATCTAATTTGTTTCAACTACTATGTATTGTAACTACTATGAAGTAAGAAAATTTGTAATTTTTTTTGTTTTCTACAAAACCCGCTAAAAGGAAAAATTTTATTATTCTGATAAGATAACTACTTGACATCATTATGGAAATGGAAATGTACAATAAACGTTTGATAAAGATAAAGGGATAAATGGTTATTCACTTTAAAAGTCTGAATCGGAAAAATGGATCTACCAGTTAATTTAATATACTCAATAAGAAATTTTACCTAAGAAATGGTATGTCCATTTTAATAGTTTATGTACTTATATTTGCCTGTAATTATCAATCGTGTTACCCTGAAATCTTTTATTTTAATGACATTTTTTATTGCCTTGTTTGTATAATTTAGTATTTTCAAAAATATTTGATGTAATTTGGATCGTGCAGGTATTAAATAAAAATAAGGCTGTTTGTAAATTCGTTTACAGTTGGTAATAAAGTATGTCTCAAAAAGAGCAATAAGTATCAAACATAAATTTTGATTTTGATTAGGCACTTAACAAGTCACATCCCACATATCTACATGCTCTGGGTAATCAATCCTAAGTACATATCAAAACAATAAATATACTATCTACAATTAGACAATAATTTGAAAATACAGCTGAAGCCAATTTACCTATTTAGACAAAATTACTATATTTCTGTTATTTATTAAAAAAACATTATTTTTAATAGACATGTACATGCAAAAGTCTGCCATGAGGGTAGGACAGTAGCGAGAGCAAGAATACTTTGGAATGTGCTGTGAAATACACTTAAAAAGGGTTATAGGGAGAATTAAGTGTGATAACATTTTACGATATGTGTCTCACTATTTTAGTTCACAAGGTTCTGTAAATGTTCAATTATGTGCTGCTATTTTAAACTTTTAGTATCCTTTGATAAAAGAAGTTGAAGATTATTGTTGACCTTTTTAAACTGTTTATTTTACCTTATACATTTTTTCTTCTCTTCATACAGTATTCTGTGAAGAGTATTATAGGTTTACTTTGTCCCTCTCTCCGATGTCACGTTATTTTATTAGCACGATAAGTCAAAAACGAGAAATGATATAAACTTGAAAATTTTAAGCAAAAGTCAAGCTCTATAAGGGGACAAAGCCTATTGATTATTAAAAATAGGGGGTTAGATGGGTTGAAATTAAAAAAAAATCCTAAACTATAAACGAAAAGCGATGGTATCAATATGAAATTTTTAGTAAAAATGAAGCTTTATAAGAAAATAAAGCCTAGTGATGCTGAAAAAAATATGAATATATTGGGGAGTTAAGGGGGATTAAAATATATATAAAAAAAATCCTAACTGAAAAATGATATCAACTTGAAATTTTTAGCAAACATCAAGCTCTAAAAGCAGAAGAATCCCTTTAATTATAAAAAAAATAAGATTAATAAGAGGGATTTAAAGTGGGTTAAATTTTAAAAAACAAAATCAAAAATGGTCTGTTAAACATAATTATTTTTGGTGGTTGGCTGCATGGCTCACCCTGTATAAAAAGTACAAATAGTAAAATATTTTAACCTCAAAATTGTTAACGGGTAGATATTAAGATAATGAAATAATGTATCTGTGGCGCAACTGTAGAAATATTGATTGTTTGCAAAATATATTGTGATTTATTCATGAATCACCCTGTAACATTAAATATTTTAAAATGTCATTTTTTATGAACATCTGACCAACAATTGTATTAAACTTTTATATACGTTAAGTCAATCTATCTTTTCAGTTTGAAGAAAAAATAACTAAAATCAGCAATTCTCCACTTTAACGCCCTGTATCTCGAAAACTAGTCATATCACAGTTTAAAGAACATATATTCTTTAAACTGTGGTCATAGTATCGGATTTAAAATTCATACTTCCTAAAACGACATTAAAATTATTATATATTAAGAAAATGGTTACAGTTGACGGGGGAAATTTTAGAATACAGGGTGTTCGTGGTTTTTGTACTTTTCTTAATATAGAATACCTTCCAACAAATAAATCACCTTGTATGTTTTGAAGCTTAAAGGTAGATTTATTTTAGTGACATTACCTTTCCCAAAATTCAACTCATAAGTACAGGGTTTTGAATTAATCGTTAAAAAAATAATTTTATGTTGTGGTTCTCTCTATAAAAGGCCCTGTATAAGAAATGTGTTCTGTGCAATATTTTGTCGTCAAAATGCCATACTGAGTAGTACTTTTTGAAAATATGCTTCTCTGACCGTACAGTAGAATAAGTGTGATTGTACAAAAAATTACCGTCATACATTTGTGAATCACCCTCTAATTATACATATTTTTAATTGTACGTATGTACTAATGTGTTACTAAAACTCGTAGTAAACGTGTGTATGCATCAGAAATTCAATCTAACTCGTAAGTTTGCAAATAAAAATTCCCAAAAACTGGGCAATTTTCAACTTTCCGTATATCGAAAACTAGTCATAGGATTGAGTTGGGCCCATTGACACTTTTGGTTACTAGGTTGACTACAACAACATACCAGAGTTTCAGAAAATTTGATGGGTCGCTACTTTGCATAAGAAAAGTGCGGGGTCTTTTAATTCGTTTAATGTTAAAGTTCAACAATTTTGTCAGAAGCATAAGGTTTATTTTTATTTTTTGTAAATAATATAACTTTTTTCATTCAAAACTTAATCTACGAAGCGCGTATACGATTTTATATGCTGTGACCGTATTTATATTATAGAAACTTATTTTACAAAGTAAGTCAATGGAATTTGAAGTTATGTCCTCACTTTTACTGCACTCCTCTTTTATTATAGTCAAAAAAAGTTAAAATATGGTATTAGATTAATTTAGTTAGAAGCGGACAATCAATTTAAACATAAAATCATCTCGCACTCGTCATTCGATTACTATTTAGAAAATTAGAGATGGAATAAAGTTTTAAATTCACTAGAGATCTATTAGGCCAAAAATAACAAATTTTTTTGATAAGAAAAGGTCTTTATACTGGACACTATCGCCTGAGAGGATTTTGAGAAGAAAAAGAACTTACATTGTGAAGGACCAATTAGATTAAGGCTTCTAACTTTAGCTTCTGTGATAAAGTTAGAATCCTTAGACTTAGAGTGCTGAGACATGTCATAAAAAAGGAAGAGGAACAACCCTCTAGTCCCTCTAGACTCTAGCAAAGTAGTAAGGTTATAACTTGAGGGAAAAAGGACATGCCAGGAACACTATTATTTGATTAATATTGTCATTGAGATTGCACAGAATGGGGTAATATAGAAAATAAAATACAAGACCTAGTTTATTTTGATAAAATAGATTAGTGTGTCACTTATAGATAGGTTGATCTATTTGTAAAACAGTGGACGAAATTACAGCTGATATTATAAAAATAAATAATAATTAAAATGGGTGACATATCCTGAAAGTCATTAAAAGCCCTAAAACTGTTGGAAAAAGAAAATTCAAATATGAAATTACCCGAAAACTGCAGCCTTGATACTGTTTACTTTCTTGATTAATTGATTTAGCTATATATGTTTTTGAAATGAGGTAATAAATAGATTGTTTTGAACTTTCGAAAATAAAACACCTAATTTAACAACTAATTTATTATAATATCGATGCTGTTCTCATATCTTATAGTAATGTAGTAAATTATGGGCTATAAAATGTATTTGATAACAAAATATTGTAGGTATAAATACAGTACATGCGTTCAGATTTAAAATTCGATTATGATTATGATTGTGAAATAACTTACCGACAAATATAAAAAACACTAACGGCAAAGACAATAAGATGACACTAAATAGTCCCAAATTCATGAAAAAGTTCAACATATTTACTATCGTTCTAGTGCATTATATGGATTCGTTATTAGATGAACTTTGTCAAATTAAACACGCAAATGACCACACGAAATCACTATAAATAAATATTACCATTGGTTCTTATCAGGGAAAAGTGACCTTTTGATCCTCAAGGATGAATGCCATACAACGTCTTGTCTTGCCTGAGAATATATCTAATTATGTTAATCAAATTGATTGAAAAAGTAATTGCCTACCTTATGCGTTTTTAAAAAAAAAAAATGCATAAATACGTGTTTTAGAAATGGGCTATTCTGAGAAATTAGAAAAAACTAGTCATTTAAGTGTTGATCTGTTTAAATTGTAAAAAATAGTGAAAAATGATATCAAGTTTTGAATATCATTTATTAAAGGATAACGTGCTTATATATTTTTTCTACACTCACATGGATATTAGCTTATCTACGCACAGACTACAAAACGAGAAAGTATAATATGAAATTGATTAAGTATTTAGTATTAAACTAAAATATTATGTGTGGCGATGGAGCAGTGACTAGGTCATCTGGCTTTCATACAGAGGTCCCGGGATCAATTCTCGGATGAAAGAGTTTTTTTAAGCTTACTTTATTATATAAATTAGTAAAAGTCATAAATTATTTAAATTAGTTTTTATTTAAATTACCTAAAATAGTTTTTAACATTTTTACATTTCCGTACAATCGAGTGGTTTGTCCGTAATGCACTCAGATGATTAAGTACTTACTCCGCCTACGACCGACGTCGTGCTCAAACATCGTCTTCGTGCGATATGGCCATCATATCCACTCTTGTTGCACAAACTGCTATTTTAATATGATTAATCATAATCTCTGAATAGTTTTATAGATAATTTTCAGGAGGCTATAAAAACTGTATTACCAATTATTTTTCTATTTCTGACGGTAGAAAGCACGCTATACTTGAACCAAAAATGTTACCAAACTCTCTGATATTTCAACCAAAAGTAGAAATATTTAACATCAACAGCACAATTTATACGCGCTTTAGATCAGTTTATATTTTAATTGGGCATTATTTGTCCTTGTACCCCGCATTCTTTAAAATGGCGCTTTTTCTTAGGCGATAGTGTCCAGTAAGAAGACTAACAGCCGTATGCATAGTCGATCGCCAGCGACTCGCCAGAGATTCATTTCGGCGTATCGCCAGAGATTCATTTCGGCGTATCGCCAGAGATTCATTTCGGCGTATCGCCCCCATACAAGCGAGCTTATGCGAAGAATGTCTATTATTATTATTATTATTTACTATGGCGCTCCCGGACGTCTTATAAATGATTCTTTAAGAAAGTTACTCTAATATCACAAACATTACATTACTATTTCAGTTCGTTAACTATCTTTGGCTAACAAAAATCAGAAATTGCATAACAAATAATTTACTTGATATAAAAACTAATGCCTAAGTAAATAAATTTTTAAAATAAACAAAAAACATAACAACAAATTCTTCTTGAATCTTAGGAAATCAGACAAAAGCAACCATCCATATAAACTGAAACAGAAAAAAATTAAATGCAGTAACTTCAAATCATTTTGTTTGTCTTTTAGACATTGCAGCAGCCCTCATACTATCATTATAATACTTTCTTATTATTAATAGTAGACAAGTTTCAACTAAATGAGAAAAGACGTCTGTTTTATGTTCTTTATATGTAAACCAGAGACGGCTTGTGGCCTAGTCTGTGAGGAAGCTGGCTCATCCTATATACTTTATACAAATATATATATATATATTTCTATTAGAATACAATGTAATATTTCTGCTTTTTGAATTCTTATAGACATATATTTTTATTAAGTATATAGGGTGTGCCTAAAAAAGTAGTCTCCTCATAGACTAGGCCACGAGTCGCCTCTGATCTAAACCATTTAAAATCAACATGGTCTGGCAAAAAAGTTAAATTTTTTGAATTATGTTGTCAATATGACCCAAAAGTTGTGAAACTATTTCAAGAATTTTTGAAAGAAATTCAATAACATTTCTTTGTACATAAATAAAACGTCTTTTATCATAATTTTCTTTAATATAAGTAAAAGTATCGATGGTCTTCTAACATGTCTGTAAATTAACTTTACACTCTTTGCAGTCAAAACTATTAAGTTTCTTAATAAACCCTGCAACATAACTAGTGGCCTGACTCAAATTCTGCGTCATTTTTTAATTTTGTATATATTATTAAAATGAACTTTATCCTCACAGGACTCTGTTTGGAGGTGTGATAACAATATTACTAAGTACTACTATCTTTGGTGTATCTGGATTTGAGGATGCTAAAGCAAGGTAAAGCAAATCTTTTAGCAGTCTTGAACGATTTGTGTTTGTAAACAATTTTGTATCAAAATATGATTTTCACAATGTAAAATGATTGGGGTTGTAAGTGGAATGTTTAAAATACGACACCATTCCGTTCTTTGATCAATATCAGAAGGAAATTTAAAAATGTTTGTTCTTAAAATTTACGTTTGGAATGGGCCTTATAAAATGTACTATAACAATTAGAAATTATGCGTTTATAATGAATTCTGCCTGGTTAAGACATGTTAAAGCATCAAAATACCTTTACTTGATTTTAAATAATCCTAAATAACTTATATCTAAAAAAATAAAAGTAGTTCCACTCACATGTTTTCGTCGACAACCAAATCATAACATAACCACACATTTGTTTGATTTTGATGTTATTTGTTGACAGCGCGCGCGGGGGCCGCTATAGCGGGCAGCCAGCAGTCATGCAGCGGACAGAAAGCCATCTTCACATAGTACAAATAACTAAGTGAAGGTATGTTTTTTTTAGTTTGTTGTAATATATGAATTAAAATTTTTGAAACAACACTTTTTGTGTGTTACTGAACGAGATGTTATTAAATTAATCAATGTGCTTTACATTTTAATACAATTTTGCTATTGTAAAACGGACTTTAGAGCACCCAAGCGCGGAGGAGTATGCGCAGAAACGTGTTTACGTATTGTGCATATGATATAAACCCCCGTGAAAGCACTGAAGAAGTACAATCTAAATCAATATTTGATTGCCAACAGTCCCTCCAGGCTCTGGCAGAACATAACAAAGTCACCCTTGAATGGGTGCCAGGACATGAGGGAGTGTTTGGAAACGAGAAAGCAGACCTCCTAGCAAGGAAGGGAGCTGAAAAAACTCTTATTGGACCAGAACCCACATGTGTTATCTCATACCAACATGCTAAATGGGTGTTAAAGGAACAAATAAAAAGAGAACACCGTAGGCTCTGGATGGAACTTCCTGGACGTAAACAGTCCAAAAAATTCATAGAGGGGCCATCCACGAGCAGACAACATCAACCTTAGCAGAAGCGAACTCAAGGCCGTAATAGGACTCCTTACGGGACACTGCGGCCTTAGAAGACACCTAAATCTCTGATATCTGATGACTCCCTATGTAGAATATCTGAAGGGAAGGATGAAACTCCTATTCACATACTATGCCACTGCCGGAACCTTAAATGGGAACGGGAATGGTACTTTGGGGTACAATATCCGGAACCTGAATAAATCGCGAAAGCGCCCGTCAGACATATTCTTGAATTCATCAAGAAAATCAATCTGATGGGATAGAAACTGTGAGGGGTACAATAAGCCTAGAGCTTCAGTACAAGTGGACTTTGAACCACGCCCTAATTCAGATAGAATGATATAAAAATATGTTGATATTTATCTTTTAAAGATTTCTTTTTATTTAAAAAATTCTATTAATTCACAGAATTTTTCAATTTTTCTAATCTCTTTAAAATTAGTAGACCGTTAAAAATTACAAATAGCAATTTCAATTAAAAAACATTTAATAAGTTAAAAAAACAAAAAAAAATAACACCACAATCAAAATAAAAAAGCAATTATTTTAATAAATGTTCAACATGTCTATCACCCTGTTCTAAACAAACTTGGATTCTTCGACCAAAAGAAATTTTAACCCTATCCAATATTTCTGGGTTAATTTCTTCAAAAGCGTTTCTAATCCTGTTTTTCATGTTTTCAGTTGTGGTTGGTTGTTCCGCATATACTTTTTCTTTAATATAACCCCATAAAAAAGTCCATTGGAGTAATATCTGGAGATCTAGGTGACCACCGCAATGGTCCATCCCTTGCAATCCACCTTCCATTAAATGTATTGTTGAGCCATGCGCTTACAACACGGGCACGATGTTGAGGTGCTCCATCTTGTTGAAAGTACATATCTCTAATTTGAGCAAGTGGTACATCTTCAAGGAGACCAAATAAATGGACCGTGCAAAATTTTTTGAAATTTGCTTCATTACGTGTTGATTTATTAATGTTTAAAAATAACAAAACCTCACAAAATAGGAAAGCAACTAGACTAACAGTGACCTACTAATGGCAAAAAGTCTTACTTCACGTCTGAACCAAAACTGAAATCATGCAGGGCCGAATTTTAATTCTAAGGATGAGCGCTACGTTAATTTCCGTTATTCTGAAACAACAATTAGTCGAGAATTAATGAAGCAAATTTCAATTTTTTTTACACGGTTAAATAGAGAATAAAACTCTCTTTCAAATGAGCTATCACTCACCACCCCATGCCATTTAAATTTTTCGAAAGGGTTGCTCCCCTCCAGTAAGGGATGAAATTAAGGGTAAACTATTCATACAAAAATGTACATTGTAGAAATCAAAAATCGACGTGTCTCGGCGATTTTCCTAACAAGACTCCAGTAACGAGTTAGATAGGGGGGGTAAGACTTATGGTGCTCACTGTATATCTCAAGATCAAATTATTAACGCAGTTAATAAATTAAAAAATAAGTTAACCTGTAGTCCTGATAATGTTTCATCTAAACTGGTAAAAAATTATATAGGTTTTTGTCAGTTCCACTCTTTTACATATTTAATCGTATATTACAAGAAGACATTTGGAAAATATCTAGAATCTGTCCCGTTTTCAAAGCTGGTAAAGTTTTTGATATATCAAATTACAGACCAATCGCATTAATCTCAATTTTTTTCAAAATTTTTGGAATTATATTTTCTAATATATTATATTCCCACGTAAAAAATACAATCACGGAATACCAACATGGTTTTGTGAAGTACCGCGTCACATCTGTGTACATTTACGTGTTGTGGATCACAGAATTGAATTTTCGGATAATTTAACATACCTAACCTATAATTTGATTAGTTTTTCTTATTCTTCTTCTATTCCTTCTGCGAGCAATGTCCTTCGGGACAATTCACCTATAATTTGATTTTTT